TCCATAGTAACTTCCTCCCACTTCCACCTCGGAATCGGCAGTGGCTGTAGGAGGCCGATCGGACTCTGATGTTCGGCTTTGACTTGCTGACAGGTAAGACACCTCCTAACGAACTCGGCGACGTCTTTCTTCAAGCCTCGCCACCAAAACGATCCTTTCAGATCGTGATACATCTTCGTGCTCCCGGGATGGGCCAAGTAGGGTGCGGTATGTGCCTCTGATAGAATCTCCTTCCGCAATGCCTCAGCCTTCGGGACCACGATCCTGCCTCTGAACTCCAAGGCACCATCGGCGCCTAGCTGAAAATCCTGTACGCCTTCGGCGCGAACCTTGGCCTCCATAACGCGAACAAACTCGTCAGAAGCCTGCTCTCGCCGGATCCTCTCTCTCAGTGTCGGCTGAAGCTGCATAGCACTGACACTGGCACTAGTGCTCCCCGAGACAGCTGTGGGGAGTGCATCAATCGCCTGAAGCTGCATCCGGGCGAACTCATGAATCAATGGACTCTGTTGCGTAATGACGTACGTCAAGTCACCCTTCACCTTTCGGCTTAGGGCATCTGCGACGACGTTAGCCTTTCCCGGATGGTACTGGATAGAACAATCATAATCCTTGACCAATTCGAGCCAACGCCGCTGCCTCATATTAAGCTCCTTCTGTGTGAAGATATACTGCAGGCTCTTATGGTCTGTGAATATCTCGCAGCGTCCGCCGTAAAGATAATGACGCTAGATCTTCAGGGCGTGAACAACTGCTGCTAACTCCAAGTCGTGCGTAGGATAGTTTTGCTTATGAGGCTTAAGCTGACGTGAAACATACGCAACGACCCGTCCGTCCTGCATAAGGACACATCCCAAACCCTGCCTCGAAGCGTCGCTACAGATAGTGAAACTCCGAGAAGGATCGGGAATAGTCAACACCGGTGCTGAAGTTAACCTTTTCATGAGCTCCTGAAAGCTCGCCTCACATCTGTCAGTCCATTCGAACTTCACAGTCTTCCTTGTCAGCTG